CAGCCTCAACATCTTGCCAGTACAACGTGGGGTGTCTCGGCTGGCAATACAACTCCTGGCTCCCCTATTCTGGTGAACATTCTCCCACCAAATATATAGAGACATTCAAAGTGCAAGGGAGTTGACATGTTGTCTTTGCAACGACAACCTACCCATCAATCAAGACTTCGAGAATGTATTTCGCCGCTGATTCATGTCCCAATCCCCCTCCTGGAATCGTTCTGTCATTGTCCCATAATCTCACTCTGATGTGGAAGAGCGCTGGCAAAAACAGATTGGAACAACGCGGATGTCCATAACGAACATCTATTTAAAGACCCAAACGTCGCACCTTCTGGCTTTTGACATTCGTCGAAGACACCCGGTGTAACCATCAACCGCAAAATAACATCAACAGGCCGACGCGCACATCTCCTTAATGAATGGAAAATTAAAGACAAGCCGCAGTGCTGCGACTGTGGTCATACAACCTCAACTCTGCACCACATAGCAAACCACGGTTGTCTGTGTCCCTTCAATGGAGCAATCACAAAACTTCACATAACCCTCTCCTGAAGCCCTCTCGTCGTGGCTAGCAGACCTCTACATTCGTGTTTAGCTCCTAAATAGATTGCAGCCATACGCAATAATACACTAGTGCACTACTCACCACAGTATATGCATGCGTGAACATTCAATGTTAACATCACAGTGCGTTTAGAGGCGGCAATGCTGTGATCATTGGTTCGAATTCAGGTTTGGGTTGCCTTTGTTTAAAACCGGGTTGTCAGGTTTAATGAGTTGATTGCGCAAAAACTCAACTGAATTCATCCCCGCATTTAATTTGGTTACATACAAGCACTGAGGATTAGTTTCTTGTGTGATGGACGCGTCTCTGTACAAGAGAGAGTGGGGAAATGCTGCCCCCTGGTGTGAATAATTGGTCAGTTGAAGTGATCTCAGAATCAGTTCAGTGATAGCTTCTTCCACGTACCGTTCCGATTGTATTATTTACGTTATGACATGATGTTGAATACACAATTGGGATAAAATGGGTCAACCAATCCCAATGACTGAATCAGCTTTAGGATGTCTTCATCCAGCAGTGGATTGACAAAGGCCTGTACATGATTAACACGAAGGCTTTCGCGACCAACGTCGTTTTCCAGATTGTAAACGTTGTGGATTTACTCTCCAACACACCGGTGTGCTGTACAAGTAACGAATTGGCATGTTCTGTTTACGTGACAAACCTTACTAATTGGCTGTGTCGAGTGGTGGCGCGGTAAAGCGACACATTTTTACGCGATCAAACCCCCTTAAAAAACCTGTACTATGGCTGTTTGTACATTTGTGTTATCATTGGTGTTCACCAGTTAATTAGTGCCAACGCTGGCCCAACGTCGCACGTTTACTTGGATGAAGTGGTTGAATGTCACCGGTTCCAATAATAAGTGATGGGTCAATCTTGGGTGTGGTGGCGTTGACATCACGCACGCGAGGCTGTGACGCCCTCTCTCGTCAGATGTCCTCCAGGACACGTACAGACGTGCCCCAGGATCACTCTTGCAAATGAGATGATGCTGGTCTTTTAAGAGCTAAACTGATTCAACAAAAAACGTAAACTGGAGTCATGTTGCCAATGTACTGCCTTATAAGGTGTTCTACACCATGGCATACATTTAAAAAATATATTACAACTTTGATAGCACATTTTGTTGATGGCCACCTGCCGTTATGAATCTCTCTTTTTTTTTCAAAGGTAAAACCCACGAGTACATGTACTCTATAACCAGGTTAGATCACACTGTGACAGGGATCATTTGTAAGCGAGATCTGAGATACAAAACGTGTCATTACCATCAGACACGATGAAGGCCTCTTCCCGAAAGGTCTCAAACCACACTGCCAAGTCTTTCAAGGTGCATGGTGTACTCAGGGCTGTATGATCCAACAGGCACAGTAGGCACTTTGCCTGGGTCCTACAGAAACTAAAGGGGTTACGAAAAAATAACTTAACCATGTTTCATTTTGTTTGTACGAAAATAAAAAAAAATGCAACCAAGATATCGTCTTGAATAAAAAATATTTATATAACAAGGATAGGCACTGAATACACAAAGGGACAGAGTCATGTAGTAACGTTATAAGCTGAGAGAAATTAACACCGGGGTAGACTTTTCGAAAAAATTCTCATCGCAGAAAATGAGCAATAATTTATCTGCGCCACGCAGCACACTCGCATCGAATTGGGGCACATACTAAATCATGAACGTGTAGGTAACGCCACTTGTCCAGCGGCCGGACAAAGTACGGCGTGAAAAGTAATATTTAAAAACTTTTTTTTAAAACACGCTTTAATGAAATGTACCGTACTAGTAATGGAAGAACTCCACGACTCCAGGCCCCGAAGCTTGCCATAACATAAGGGACCATGGTCATTTACAGCCAACTTCAGTTGACCGTGGACAATTAGAGCCAAGCCGAAACATAACATATAACATTTTTTAAAAAAAAGATGTTTATTTTTATTTTTAATGATAGAATATAGTCTTGTCATCAGTATGACATAAGTATACCAAGTTTGCAGTTGATACGACATTGGGAATACGGTTGAAATTGAGTTACAAGATTTTTGGATACGACAACACATACAGTAAGTTAAATAAAAGCGTGTAAAAAGTTTTAAGATATGTTTTGGATTTTTTTATGATAGAATATCGTGTTGTCATCAGTATGACATACCTATACGAAGTTTGCAGTCGATAGCACATTGGGAAGTGTGTAAAAATTGAGTTCTACGATTTCTTTTTGGAGAATACAACAGACGAAGTGAGTTATATAAAAGTGTGTAATAATAACAAGAGCGTGTAATAATAATAACAACAAGGGGAATGACAGCGGTGCCGTGTTAGAGGACAGCTCACAGAGAAGTGAAACCACAAACCGCCTTTCGGGAACACAATGATGTTACCATTATTCTTTAAATATTTTTTTTATTGTCATTCATATCTTTATTTTTGCTATTTATTTTAAGATATATTGAAAATTGTCTGTTATTTCGAATACATGTTTAACGCGTAAATATATTTTAAATAAATGCCTGGAAAACATGTTTACATTATTTTTTACATGGATGTGATCTTTCCATTGAAGGAAATGTAAGACAATTAATGTGCTTTGTCCACAGCACTATGAAACCAGAATATCGTTTTTTTTGTGGGTTAGATTGCGTAAATATATAAACGTGTCGTTAAACCTGCCACCACCCGACACAGCCAACTAGTAAGGTTTGTCACGTAAACAGAACGTGCCAATTCGTCACTAGTACAACACACCGATGTGTTGGAGAGCAAAGCCACAACATTTATCAATCCGTGTACGACGTTTCGCCAGTCACAGAGTTTTTTTTTTTATCATTGAGACAGAAAGTGCCTGGGGCCCACAAGAATCTTCATTGGGCCTACAAGAATCTTCATCGGGCCCTGGTCGTCTACCCAGGGGATGACAGACGAGCAAAATCACGTGCTCCCCACCCATTCACTATTCATGCCCCTACACACTTGCAGGAAATTCTATTTACTTCATGAATGTCTCCGGTAACTCTATCTAAATCGCAATGTAATGCGAAATTGTCGATTCTTTATGACTTTGTGGTTATTTGATATATATTTACTTTTTGATTTAAAGCTTTCGTGACTGCAGGGATTCATATTCTTGGTTCTTTCGGTAAAGTCACGTAGAAGGGAAACAATAAAATAATAAAAATATAAATCAATAAAATTCTCACGACGTTTCGACTGCAATACAAGCAATCATCATCAGGTGTGAAAAAACACAGCAAAACAATTGTGTTTTTCACACCTGATGATGATTGCTTGTGTTGCAGTCGAACCGTCGTGAGAATTTTTTTGTTTGATATTTTTATTATTTTATTGTTTCCCTTCTACGTGACTTTACCGAAAGAACCAAGAATATATATTTACTTATCTGTTTATACACTTTGTACTATTGTCACCCTCGTTTTGTGTACGTGTAATGTTCCCGTACCTTAATGCTGTAATTCTACTATGATCAGCATAGATTGTATCTTCACTTTGGGGAAATTAACATTGAACTTTAATTTAAAAAAATGTTTGTGCAACATTTTCCATTGACAAAGTTTTTTTGTCGTGATCTCTATTTGCTTGACTGCTGTAACTTTTGATTTAAAGCTTTCGTGACTGCAGGGATTCATATTCTTGGTTCTTGTTGTAACTTTATTGATTTGTGAGATTGATTCTGTGTAACCAGATGGTGAGACCTCAAGAGAGTTCAAGTTCAAGTTCATTTATTAGGTAAAGCCCTGTGAGCCATTCGGCTCTTGAATCGGGTGCAACCGCAACAAACAAAAAAACAAAAACATGAACAAGAAAACATCTTGAAGTGAATATGTGACTAAGTCCAAACAGAAAATCTAAGAAAAACACGGCAAAATATTGCAGAAAAAGCACCGTACACCAACGCTGTGTGCAAAAATCCCAGTGGGATGCAAGTCAAACAACAACGACCACAAGACAACTTAGATTAAGACCATCAGTCTAATTTCGTACTACAACAAACAAACATGGCCAAACCAAAAAACATTTCGAAAATCACCAAAATATAGCCATAAAAGCAATGAAACAGTGATCACAGGAATTGTGACGGAATTTTCACAATAAACGACGTCAACAACATGTACTACCAAAACCCTGTAGCCATAGCTGGCTGCATGAGACACTCCTACAACAGCAGGAGCATCAGTCGGAGTATCAAAAAATTTCAATGCACCTTTAAGAGAGAGACTGGGTGACCAGAATCACAACATAAATCACATTAAAACAAACTACAGAAATATCTCACCACAATTGTTACTACTCAAATTACAATTATAAGCACTTCGGGCATGGTTTATCCACTGCTGGATGCAAACTTTGGTTTTGTTTAAAATTAAGTGCCTCTGATGCCCCCTTGAGGAGGACATCGTAAACTATCACAAAACAAACGCCACCACGCAAACGCCACATGCGGCTAAACTCTTCCACAATTGTTGTTTCGAGGCTTTAATTCGTTCCACCGTGATTGTGTAAAACGTCAAGCAAGGCTAAAGTTAAGTTTGTGTTTCCACGCTGCGGCTCTGAGACACTGGTGTATTTTATAGAGACTCGGACGCTGGCTCGCCGGGCGACACCGGTCTCGACTAGAACTGCTGCCGCGCAGGGGCGAGGGAGCTCGGCAGGGTTCGCCACGACTGCCCGGTGTAGGCCTCAGCGCCCGTCCAGGTCATTATCACAGCATGTTAACAAAAGTTGCATTTTCTAAACACATTCGCTGAAACATACTTGACTTGATAATAAGCTGAAACTGTTATTTTCTCAGTAAGTAAAAGAACAGTTGTATTCAAGGAGGCAGTGTGTGTATCTTCACGACGCGATTTCCGAATACAATTTAAGAGTCGTGCAAATGTAATGCTGGCGGAGCCACGTACGGCATTGAGTTGTACGTTATATTTGTTCAAATAAGTATTCTATCAAACGTTGCTTGCTAAATAAGACAGTTTGTCTTAACCTGTCATTGTTATTTTTCCGAATGACTGCATTTTATACACTAATTTCTCACATATGTCGGGACAATAACGTCATCCTGATTTGGAAAACCGTAACAACTCATGCCAATACACGACACGCAGTTGGAGGCTTTCGCGAGCAAATACCATCCGTAGTTTTTTTTGCGGATTAGATCGCGTAAAATATAAATGTGTCGTTAACCCCGCCACCACCCCACGCAGCCAATTAGTGTGGTTTTCCACGTAAACAGAACGAGACAATTCGTGACTAGTTCAGGAGTACATCGGTTAAGGGACATTTTCATTTCCGCGATTTAACTACAAAAACAAAACAACTCTTGATGAACTCGTACGTTGGTCACGGGTCGTACCGCCAACTATTATTACACCCCCCCCCCCCCCAAACTTGTTGATGGCAAGCCAGAGATTGTGATTCTCAAGTGTACGACTCCTCGGTCAGTGCTGAATGTGTGTACCCACCACTGAGCTCGAGTGAATGACAGCAATCGTACTTTTTACCAAGACCGTAATTATAATAATATATTGGGGGGGGGGGGGAGACACATCCCCGACAATATTATAATATGCTCAAAATGCCCCCCCCCCCCAATATATTGCTATAAAATAGATTTCTGTTTATATGATTGTGGTTATGGTTGTACTTTACTAATCCCTAATCTCTGCCATTACGTACAATGAAACAAGAAATGTAATACAATGCACTATTAGACATTATTGTAAAAAAAAGTCCATCCCATGTGTTAGTGAATTTTTTTTTATTTTAGGCAGGACATTTGTTTTCAAATTTAGATATTTTTTTTCTGGGGGCGGACCCCCAGACCCCTTGGAAGATTTGGTCCCCCCCAATGTTGACTCCATGGCTACGGCCTTGCTTTTTACACAGCAGCAGCCACTCCGTGGATAATCATCTCTCACCTTGGTCGCTCGCCGATTGTGTCGTTGAATACAACTCAAAGCAGTCGTCAATAACACCATGGCATTCAAAGGAAAATAAATATAATGGGCAACGTTTCGGGCAACGGCCCTTCTTTTCATATCACACAAAATGCAATGAAACTGCTATGAATAAGGGCCATTGCCAAAAAAGTCGCCTATTTATTTTTCCCATTAAGCGCACAGTATTGTTGACGAACGTGGCTAATTGTGCACCACTGCCATCGCAGCAAAATCACTAAATAATTTGATGTGTTGTTGGGTTGTACCGAATGCTGCTCGGCACGATAACCGCCGTTATGTTCCACGTACTGGGAGCTTATAAAACACCAGAGCCATATGACGCAACTGATCAAACTTTACGTAGCATTACTTTCCGTGTAGTGTCGAGGATTGTCTGGTGATGTGTATAGGAGCCAGGGGCCGGTGCATAAAACAATCTCAGTGACGTGGCTCGTTTTTCTTAAATTTGTTCCATTCTGACATGCCTCCATGGTGCAAGGGGGAAGACATCTCAAGTGCCAAGCAGGCGTTCATCACGACGACTCTTGATCAATCACCACCGTCGAGCTGGGATGCCTGGAGCCAGCGTGCGTCTCTCATCGCGACTACTGCTTCGTCCGAACTGGAGTAGCCTTGCCCCATGGAGTACCAAGTGTCCCCGCCTCCACTTTGGTCTAAGAACTCAGCCCTGGAGGCCTCTAGTCACCCTGGACACTTCGACAGTCAGAAATTCGTCATGTGTCGGGCTGAAGATGCAGACGAATTCGACTGGATGTTCCTTCACTGACGGTCATCTCTCCTGGGCCATCGTGAGGAGATACTGCACCAGCAGGCGGGACTCCCTGCGGCTCTACCTGCAAGGCCTGCAGGCCGAGCATGTGGCCGTGATCGAGGCCCTGAGGAGACTCGGAGAGGGGACGGGGACCGGGGGTGACCCTCGCACGCTCAGGAGGCGGCAGCAGGAGCTGGCGCCGCTCGTGGCGATGATCGGGTGCCTCGAGAACAAGCAGCACGAGTTGCGTGAGGTGGAGGATCTGCTAGCAAGTGAGTGAGTGAGCATCGTGGAGCCCGCTTCCGCTGGACTGAGCTGCCGGGCGACCAAGCATTTGCCTTGGAGTTGGACTGGGGAAGCTATGTTTGGCCCAACTTAAATCTCAACTAACACCATCTGCCAAATAATTATAGTGTGGCCAAGTTGAGGTGGCTAGGATATTTTCCATAACACTGATAACATCTTGGGTTCGAATCCAGGAAGCCATCTGATTAAATTGGGTCCTCAAGTATCGTAAGTTGATGGTCTCAGAATGGTTACTAATGAGTGCATAAACCCCCCTCCCAACCTAACATCATTGAGTTGTGTGGCAGGGAAAGTGCTGCCCCCTAGTGTGGACCAGAGGTGACTTGGAAGGTATCTCAGAAATAGATGCAAGTGCTTTAATGGGCTCTTCTCTAACTTGACGGGTTACATTGCTGTGAGAGATCCAAATGTATTGTTTGTCTCATGACATGATGTCGTTAGCTCAATTGGGATAAAGTCTTGTTTGAGTGAAGACCCCAACTCCAGCACTGACTGGCAATGGAAAATGTCAAACTGTTCGGATGCTTAGGCCAACCCTGTACCCAAGCTGTCAAATGTGTCCATTCCACATTATTCCACGACTTACGGGAGGACAGATGCGGGCAGCTGGAGGCGTGTGGTCTCTCTGTGTCCACTCCCTGGCAGGTGTGGAGGCAGAAAAGGACCGGCACATGCAGGCACTTGCAGTGGAGGAAAAGGAGAGAATCCAAGGGGAGGCTGGGAACCTGGAGAGGAAGGTAAAGCCAAGTTCCAGTCATACTGTCCAGGACCAGCAGAGATAATGTGGCGTTTAGACCCTCAGCTGTGTTGTAAAGGTTGCACTGATTGACCAGCGCCCAACCCAGGCAATTCGATAAGTTGTTGTGATGCACTTCCAGAATATATTATCGTCGTAACATTGTGGTGAATGTAGCGGACAACAGTGGTAGCAGAGGTCATGTCAGCTAATTACATATAACCAGGGCTTAATTTCACATGGTTCTGTATGGGTCAGCGACCTCAGAAAATATTTCCGCACCCAACGCATCACACCCAGTATACATCGCGCTATGCCCATGGATGTTTCCCGACCCTTTTTCGAGGCCTACTCTTTTCTAAGTGTCCCGGAAGATGATTCAGTAACTATTTAAGTCCTGTGTATAACAAATACAAATCTCAAAAAAAACGACGAATTGATGCGTTATTACTCCTCTGTTTTATTGATGCTTTTCAGGTGCTGGACTTGCTGTTACCAAAGGATCCACATGATGACAGGGATGTCATCCTTGAAGTCACAGCTGGACGGACTACTGGAGGTACAGCCTTCTACTTCACACGAACTCCGGGTTTTTAAAGGGTGTCAATGACGGGCTATGAATGTCATCACAATCGTGTCGCCTGCTGATTTGTTTTTGTTTTGCTTCTTCTGTCTGGCAGGTGACATCTGTCAGCGGTTCGCCGCTGAACTTTTTGACATGTATCAGGGCTTCGCCAAGCACAGAAACTGGAACTTTGAAATCATGAGCTTCGCTCTGGCAGACTGCGGTACGGAGAACCACTGCACGAAAACAGACCATGGCAGTTAACATTTGTCAGACCTTTATGATGGAAATGTGATAGTGCAAAAAATGTATGTCTATATACTGTGTTTAGTAATTAAGAGGGAACAGTTTTTCAAGCAATGAAAGAGGCAGTTATTTCAAGGTCCTCCATGGATTCGCCCCTGCCGACCCCTCTTCTACAATCCTCGACACACTCTCCTCTCTCATCTCACTCTACTCCCCTCCACATACTCTCCTCTCTCATCTCACTCTACTCCCCTCCACGCACTCTCCTCTCTCATCTCACTCTACTCCCCTCCACACACTCTCCCCTCTCATCTCACTTTACTCCCCTCCACACACTCTCCTAACTCTCCCCTCTCATCTCACTCTACTCCCCTCCACACACTCTCCTCTCTCATCTCACTCTACTCCCCTCCACACACTCTCCCCTCTCATCTCACTTTACTCCCCTCCACACACTCTCCTAACTCTCCCCTCTCATCTCACTCTACTCCCCTCCACACACTCTCCTCTCTCATCTCACTCTACTCCCCTCCACACACTCTCCTCTCTCATCTCACTCTACTCCCCTCCACACACTCTCCTAACTCTCCCCTCTCATCTCACTCTACTCCCCTCCACACAATCTCCTCTCTCATCTCACTCTACTCCCCTCCACGCACTCTCCTCTCTCATCTCACTCTACTCCCCTCCACGCACTCTCCTACCTCTCATCTCACTCTACTCCCCTCCACGCACTCTCCTCTCTCATCTCACTCTACTACCCTCCACGCACTATGCGCTCCAGTAAAACAAGGCTTCTTGCTGAAGCCCCCAGTCAACTTGTTCCTCAGTGGGAGGTCGATCATTCACCTCAGCTGTCCCCATATTATGAAACTCAATCTAGCCATTTTGTGACTCCCTTCTGTTCAAGTCCAGGCTTAAGGCCTTCCTTTTTACCACTGCATATGACTGCCTCTACAAACTAAATGTCCAGTGTTTCCATTCATAGGCTTCAAATGCAGCCACATTTAAACCCTGCATGAAATCCACTCTACAATTTGAAAGTCTCCACGTGGTCTCACCAGGGGGGCTGCACCACGCGTCGGCACGCATCACGGGCGACGCCGTGTTCCGTCACCTCAAGTTCGAGGGCGGCACCCACCGAGTGCAGCGCATCCCGCAGACGGGCCTGTCCTCGCGCATGGAGCGGATCCACACGGGCACCACCACGGTCATCGTGCTGCCACAGCCGCGAGATGTGCGTCTACGTTACTCTCGTGCTCGTCGGCGAGCCACGCCTGTTTTAAATCACGTTTGTGATCTCTTCCTGTGACGAGCTGTAACTGCCGCCACTTGCGACGGCCTTGGGCTGCGGTCATCCTTGAGAGGGAGCCGCTTAGCTCGATGGGCCTCATCGATTGAAATAAGTCCGAGCCTGAGAATCAGTGGAGAAACAGCAAATCCTGTTGCAGTTTACACAAATTATTCATAATAAAGGTTTTTGGGTTAGATCGCGTTATTTATAAATGTGTCGTAACCCTCCACCACCCGACACGGCCAAACAGTAAAAAATGTGTCACGTTTACAAAAGACAAATAGTTCACCACCGGTGCTTTGAAGAGTGAATCAGCATCATAAAAATTTTTGAGTACGACGTTTCGCTGGTAATTACATCCAGCATCATTGGGCAAATTGCCAGAATGGTGAGGCCCTCCACTTGCTCCCGGTCTTAAATAGAGCAGCATGGTGACGTCATCTTTTTAACCCAATTTGGTGCAGTAAATTATACATACAACGTAGGAATGCAATGTGTTTTCGGGTTGTTGTACTGCGTGCTCAAAATGATATCCAAAATTTCTCTGCACCTGCTGGGAGCTTAGTTCACTTCCGCATCGTACATAGAGTGAAATATTGCTTAAGACGTGGAGTGAAAAAGTCGGACATCTGGCCGAACAACACGCAGAAGCACAACCCAGAAATACAATGAGAGAGCTACATTATGATACATGCGGTTTGCGTTCTGTTGTTTCGTAGGTAAGGTTCTGCTGATGTCGTTTGCAGATCGACATCAAGCTGGAGACAAAAGACTTGCGGATTGACACGTTCCGGGCCAAGGGCGCAGGGGGGCAGCACGTGAATACCACGGACAGTGCCGTGCGGGTCGTGCACCTGCCGACAGGTCAGGCACCCGCTAGGGTCACTGGAAGAGGCAGGGTCATGAATACAGAAGCCAAGCAGGTTTCAGCTTGGGCCACACAATGCATTGGACTGACAGCAAATTTATTTCGCATGTGAAAAAAGCAGTTGTAAAAGCTGAATGTGTCAACGTGACGTGTGTGCTGGGCTGGCCTGTCTGCGCTTTAGGATTGACTGCAGAGTGCCAGCAGGAACGATCGCAAATTCGGAACAAGGAGATGGCGCTTCAGATCCTCAAGACGAAGATGTACCAGCAGCTATTCGAGTTGGAGGTGCAGGAGAGGCACAGCGCGCGCAGACTGCAGGTAACGTGCGGCACCGTGAGCTCGCTCGCTCGTTCACTCCCACGTGGACGGGAGATGGCAAGGCTGGGCTACGGTGGCCCAACCTGTTGTCAGGGTCATTAGCATGACGGCTCGTATGACTACTGCCGCTGCTGCTACTGCTACAGTGTCATGTTCTGCGTTCGTAGCTCGTGTGCAGTCTAGAAAGCAGCAGCTGCGTTCCTGTTCTTCGCGTGTCTTGCCCTTCGCTTTGTCAAAATGGCAATAAATTCGGCGGTGACAATAGCGCCACCGCAGAGCGGCGAGTCTGTCGCGACGTGCGATCGAGTTTGTATTTCCACCTGAAATAATGCGTCGCATTTTAGTTTGAGAGAGTCAAATGTGTTTTTGTGTCCTATTCTCTCGCCCAAGGTGGGAACACGATCTCAGTCGGAGAGGATTCGGACGTACACCTTGACGCAGGATCGTGTGACGGACCATCGCATATCGCTCACACTGCACGATGTGCAGGTGCGTTTAAAGCCACACAGTCTCTTAAATATTTAAGAAGGGGGGGGGGGGAATTGGCCGCTAAGTTCGCAACTAATTTGCATTGAACAAAGACCACCCCCCCCTCGACACCCTCCCCCCCCCCACCCCGAATAGAAAGACAGAGACCAAAACGGTTGGCGAAGACGAGTCAAATTAAAATGTCACTAACGAGAAAATTGTGTGGTCAATAAACATGTTGAGTAATCATTGAGCAACGCGACACTACAATCACACAGTGGTGTTATCTTTTCACCTATTCTCATTCGGCTTGGAAGAGCGCCTTGTTTTTATAGAGGGCCCAAGAGGATTTCAAACACCTTTGTCAATAACGCACCCCTTAGCATTATCAAATAATTACACAATATATCTTGACATCTCAACCGGTCCTGCCCCCCCCACTTACCCCCTTAACCAACCCGCGCTCACCATTGTGGTGAAGTTTGGTCAAACAATCCCCGTGCTCCACATGGTATGGAGACACCTTCTTACAGCAGCGGATTACAAAACGCTTCTAAGTCTATGAGCCCAAACCAGATCTATCGCTGGTGAGTACCACCCGAGATGGCAGAGCTTTAGTGGTTCCAATTTACTCTGGTTCTTTCGATAAAGTCACGTAGATGAAAAACGGAATGACTGTTTTTTTTTGCTGTGGTTGTCCCACCTGATGACGGAAGCTTGTGTTGCCTCCGAAATGTCGTGATTTAATTTAGTTATAAAAAAAAAATTTCACCCACGTGACTTTACCGAAAGAACCAACGTGTATGGACCCTTGCAGTCACGAAAACTTCAAATCTAGAATCAATGGTTCCAGTTTCTTTGTGTGGCCACTAACAGTGAATTGTATGATACCCATTTTAAACTAGCGGGGAGATCGAATAATTCACCCTTATTGGCCGTATAGATAAATCGGTACTCCTAAAGTATTGGCAATTTGAATACACCTTTGATTACTCCGCAGAGCGCCATCTAGCGCATGCATCTTGAAAGTACAGCGTGTGGAGGAGGCGACAGGGGAGAGACTCAGGGCCGCATTCAGGGCCATATTCTTAGGCACGGACCAGCTCAGGCTGAGCCTTGGCACATGCGTCTTCCAAAGACACACAAGCGACTCATCCAGGGCCTTAATTCTCGATTTGAAGCTTTCGTGACTGCAAGGATTCATATTCTTAGGTTTTTTCGGTAAAGTCACGTAGGTAAAAAAATAAAATTAATAAAAGTAAAATAAAAATAAAATAAAAATCACAAAATGTCGTGATTTTTATTTTATTTTTATTTTACTTTTATTAATTTAAATTTTTCACCTACGTGACTTTACCGAAAAAACCTAGGAACATCCAGGGCCTGTCTCAGGCTCAGCCTCATGGAAATCCAGAGTGTGGCTGGGACCAAGCTTCGGGCTGTCTCAAGTTGAGTGCCTTGAGCCAGAGCCAAGCCCGAGTCAAGCCGTAACTACGAATATATACTGGTCTCCGTGTGTGTGGGTGTGTGCGTTTCAGACAGTGCTGGAGGGCGGGCCGGCCTTCGAAGGCCTGGTGGAGACCCTGCTGCACGCGGCGGACGAGGATGCTCTGGATGAGCTGTTAGAGAAGGCGCAGCGCTCGACGCACAGCACTGGCCGCTAGCGATCCACCAACTGGCACAACCAGCCCCACTTGCACTGGGATCACAGCACGAGTGGCTATTGCTCCACTGACACTACTGGCTGCGCTTAACGGGCGGTGATACGGCCCAGCGGTAGCGTGCTCGCCGCTTGTTGCAGAGGTGAATATGTGAAGATGAAAGGCGCTTTATAAAATCTATATTATTATTAATTGTTCGAATTCAGCAGCTGCCCTGGTTAGTACTGGGGTTGTAACAACCAAAATGATACGCGCCATCCGCCTCGCGTTAAACCGGACCTTAGGAATCCCCTGACGTCATTCGTAAGAGTAAGCCATTATGTGCTGGCGTCTAGGCCCAAATTTGAAAGTTACCTGCTTATTACTCAATTGGGATTACACACACAGCAGCAGCAGCAACCATCGTCCCCGACTGGCAGACTAATGACCCAGGTCACTTGCAAATGAGACTCAACATGGCCTCTTTGAGTTCTCACCTGGGTAAAGAAAATCAACTTGAAACTTGACATAGTGCCAACCACTAGTCATCACTTGATCCTCAGTACCAATTGCTAGTGCTTTGGCTGACAGCACTACCATAGTCACTGGCAACACAACAACTGCAACTAGCACTTTAATCACAGCTCGTCCCACAACAACATCCTGCGTGTGCACGTGAAAACGTCTCTGCTGCATTCATGGCCTCCTCCATCGGACTACCTGCGAGTTCGTTTTTCTTTTGGATTCAAGTTTGCAGTTCTGCACCAGGAACGTCCTTCGGACTGAAACCGATTCACCGTGTACCCGATTGAAGTGTCTCCCAATGACGAAAAAGAAAACAAACCCCCACTTTTTTTTATCTTGCCGGTTGCGTTTTCATAAATGGCTCACGTGTGCACGTCACTGACGAAGTACGTAATTAAAGCTGCGCATCGCTCTCGTCGAGAAGAGAACCCGCAGCCAGCCGGCAGTTGTGGCTGCCGTACGTGCTGCCGTGCGTCCATGCACAGTCGCGCACCATTTTGGCTTTTATAGGATGGGCCTTGCACGTTCCATTATCGGCAGCACAGATCAAAGGTGCAGTTTGGGTTGTTCAAATCGCACATGCTCGCTCTCTTACGTGCAAGTTCTCACTTCTACTTATACTTGTAAAAAAACGTCGGTGACGTGTGCATCTCCTCCACGCTTTTTGTCAATCTGCTGCTGGATGAAGCCCTGCTGCTCATGCCACGCGGGTCGTCGGAGTTACCTGACCATGTTTCACCACACTGGTCAGTGCTGGTTGAAGGTGGGAAACAGACGCGGGAGCATAGAAGTAAAGTTTAACAACTGATTTTGCTGCCCTGTCAACTGCTGACAACATAGGCTCACGACAGCCTGTCTTATCCCTGGGAGTCGCCCATCTGAGCACTATTCAGGGTGAACTTCGCTTGGCTTCTGAGATAGGGTGTGCGTTCTGGGTGATTGGCTCGAAGAAAAGTGCTAACAAGTGGCCAGAATTAAAATCAACCTAAACCGCCGGTGGGTACCACCTGGTGAGTGTTTTCAATCGCCCAGGAAACTTGCAGTGTGCTCGCTACGATGGTTCAAAAGTCTATATCATAGAGATGGCCGGGCCGGCTCTGCAACTGAAAACGGCACGATGGAGTATTGGCCATTCAAACACGTTTGACTTCAGTGCGCGTGAAAGCACAAACGCCTTCATCTCATCTCGGCTCACTCCGATTTGGAAGATGCAGAAACACCAGATTCCCTGGCCGTTAGTTTGACCTTTTATAATGATCACCAATTGAAACTCGGGCATGCAGCGCGACGTGGTTGTTTTCCACCACCGACATCATTCGTACCTCGATGTCGGTATATTCCCGGTCGGGAAAACAAAGTGTGTGTCAGCTGTCACTCAAGCTCAATTAGAACGACTGCAGTAAAAAGAACTTGCTGATGATAAAGACATCGTCCTTTTAATGATTCTGATAAGAAAAGTTTGCTGCAACAGGACACGTCTCGAGGAGGCGTAACGGCCGGTGGTTAAGAATAATGACGGGAGGGCCAGCAAAGTTGGGCAACGCTCAGGAGACGACATCCCACTCTTAAGAGACGGAGCGATGAAATCGGCTTTGCGTGCCCGGTGCTTGGCGGATCCATGACGAGACGTGGCGATTGCTTGGGGAGGCATTCATCCAGCAGTGGGTTGTTAAAAGCGCTGTAAATGTACAGACTGGCCATCGCTGGTGGACTTTTTTTCTTTCTCCGTCGGTAATAACAATGACCGGAGAGATGTTTGCCCTCGGCTGGTTAAAGAGAACCTCTGAACCCATGTTGACCAAACGCTGCTTACTGCTGTGTCACACGGCATCGCGGCCCATTATCTGTAGACTGCAATAAACACTTTCTAAGACGCCCAACTCAACGACGGGGTAGGAGTCCAGCAATGGACACGTGACCGAACTTGCACTCGTGACAACGGTGACCAACGGCAAACCAAGGCAGGGAACTGAGGACGGTTGAACCCTGGATGGTGTCGCATGGGCGAGCCACCTTGCACGAGATGCGTAAGCCTGCGTCGTGGGCAGCAGAGGGCATTGCAGCAAAGATTCGTTGAAACCGTGGGTTTGTGAAACCCGTGTCTTGAGTGGACCCTCGGTCGGTATTCCCCAGAGGTCGCAACCGGGTACCCGATACCCGTACCCTACCCGATACCCGGCTACGCGTACCCGGCCGGGTACGGGTACCCGTTTGCGACCCTGGTGCGGCCGGGTACGGGTACGGGTAGGCCGTGAGTCACCGGTGAGTAACCGTTTATCACTCATTTCGGGAAGGGTACGGGTAACGTACGGGTACCCGTTTGCGACCCTGGTGCGGCCGGGTACGGGTAAGGAATCAAAACCCGTTTGCGACCTCTGGTATGCCCTCGAATGCACGGTGCACTTTGCTCCGGGTTCTTGGGTGGGTTTTCCTCGCGCATGGAGCAAAACGTAATCCGGTCACGTCTCAATCGAGTCTGATAAGTCTTGGCCCGGTGAGACTTTCCCCCCAAAACTATTTTCACGTCGCCCAGTTAAGTCGAGTACTTAAACCGATATAATCCGTGGACTCAATCGATTACTGGCCTAATGGGGTAGCCCGGGCTATATTGGCATGCATCTGTATTGGTGCGCGCTCTGCGTTCTCCGGGGCAATTACAGCCTCGCCCTGCACTTATCCCTCGACGCAAACCTGAAATCTGAGCCCTCTGCCATTATCCTTACTCCACCCCTTGCGCCGGGTGAACTCCGGTGTCAATGACTGCCGGCGCGTTCGTCGTCGCTTGCTCCAGAGGTTCGCGATTCTCATCCAGCGGCCGCCCTGATTAATAACCGCGGTGTTTGTTATCCACCAAGTCCCGTAACTGTGCTCCACTGGGAGCGGACGTTAACGAAATATGCCCGTGGTGTTATTCGCAAGGGTTAGGCGTCATGGTACACACTTGCCACTAAGTACTCCATCGGAATATGCGGAGCAATCATCGACCCCCTCCCCCCGCACGACTGCGAAAACTTGACGGGACCCTTCTGAAAAACAGTCATGAGACTCGGTGTGGCTTTCCTGGGTAAACGAGTGGAATAGATAAATCATTAAACCCCTGCACCCCGCACTATACACCTGGACTGATATCCACGGATTAATGTATTACTGGGAGACTGGAGCAGGAGACACGTGGCTGTTAGCCATTGTCAGAAATATACTGGATGTGGTGTGCCGGGTACAGCGAGTCGTTTCACCCTGACAGATTTAAGCGAATTAAAGCTGTTGTATCCTAACCCTTCTTCCATAATTGAGATTAATAATATTTGATGATTTTTATATATATTATCTTTTTACTTGTTTTTTTAATGATTGAAACACACCAAGCGCAGCAAACTGCAAAACACCAGGTGTTGTTAAGTAATGAACTGGAGGAGGGCTAGGATGGCAGAATTTGCAACCTTGCTTCAAGGAAAGATAAGGCCTGATGAACGGGCACATGTCACCCTGCAGGCGGCAGAGACAGTGGGAGTGTCAGCCAGACATAGTTAAGGCAAAAAGCCCAACCATCCTGCATGGTTTTAAAGTAACGTCAAAATTCGAAATTCAACAACAGAGTAGGCTAAATTATCGATCCTCGCGCTCGCTCAAATTGGAGACCAGGCTGCGAGCTACATCAATGAACCATTGCCCATTTGCTAATCCAATACTGAATGTTAATATTACTGAAGTCAAAACGAATTCTATGACCTCAGCACATGGGCAAATAATAGGGCAGTGTCGACTCAAAGGCAATGGAAGAAAACAGAGGCGCCTTTGTCTAAATCACAACCACAGAAAGCCAGGAATCATCACTGATTGTGTGTTCAGGAATTCCGAGCTAGTTAGAACACGTGCACAGGGGGGGAGCTGATGTAAACAACCCTGCGCGTCTGGATGTGAGGGGGCCTTTGACCTGAAAGTAAGAATAACACTCCCAGAGCAGAAGGTTGGATGACCACAGTGAGACGAGAATAAGAGTGGTGTATATCTCTCAAGGAGGCAGACCCAGCTGAACAACAAGGCTGCGGGGTCACCAGAAGTTCGCATTCGCCTAGTTAAGACAAAAAGCTCAATTATTCTGTATTGCTATTAAAGTAACGTTAAGTCGGAATTTAACAACAGGGTAGGCTAAAGTTTGATATTCACACCCACTCCAATTAAACCAGGCCACAAGTTACGCCTACTGAACCATCACCATTATTAAGTCAATATGAAATGTTATTTCCATACTTCAATACTTTCTATACAACTCGACCCGAAGCATATGACAATCAGAACCTTCCTAAGTCAAAATTGAATCGCACCCAGACAGGAGCGAATAGTCGATATAAGGTTGACGAGGGAAGGAAATTAAGAGCACGGCGAACTGCAAACGTAAGCAAAAAGCCGGGAACAACACCAGCCCAGCAACAGCGAGTGGGGCTTCGACAGGCCATAAAGTAGAATAATAACTCCCGGGGTCAGGGGACACAAGAAGAAGCAGGCAGACAAAAACCAGAACTGACTCCAAGGTTCAACCGCCCTCACCTACTCAGGAGGGACGGAAATTAATGAGGCCTTGAATTAACGGCAGGCAACAACAACGGCGAGCAGAGATAGGGTGGGGCAAAGACTGCGGACTATGGAATGCAACTTCGTGTCAGTAAAGCCCTGACAAACAAGTTAAGTTAAAGACATCACAATACATAATATCGCACATAACATCAATGTTAACGCTATTCACCGTAAACTATATTCCGCTTATATAACCATCCAGGCACCAAGGAATACGAATTCCTAGGATCAAGAAACTTACCCCTTAACCTAAGATATCGGAAATAAATTAATAGTAATAAGTATATGCATGAAAAGACAAAAGTAAAACTTATGGAAAAGCCAGGATAACGGGATGAATCACCACCAGGTCGAATATAAATACATAATAAAAAAAAAAACAATGTTAAACCCAGGGTCGGAGAGAAAGGGAGATCCCGGCCGTCTTTGTATCCCCGCAGCGCGGGATAGGAGTGTGTGTACGCTCGGGGAAACACCTACACTTGGGTCGGGAACCACGATGGGAAACGACAGACCTTAGGTTACATACAGAATCATAACTGTGAAATAGTAAGGGACAAATGTTAACTTAAAACTTTTAACCATTTCTTTGTGCGCCGGGTCGGAGAGAGTGTTGCCCCTCCCTCCAGGTTGTGCAACACGAACAAAGACGCCTATGAGACGATTTGTAACGTCTGTGTTTTGGGTTCATGAAGAAGGCCAGACAAGAGATAAATTGCACCCAGACAGAGAGACGACTTCGAGACAATTGTAACATCTGGTTGTTTGCTCGTGGGTTTTATGGAGGGAGTTGACAACGGAATATACCGTCAGTGATGCACACAAGGACATACGGACACACACATGGACACACCTGCCTACGGACAGATCCTGACACAGCAAAAATCGGAAGCCCCGCCTTGTGGGCGGGATCCAGGGGGATTTTTCAGCATAAAGGAACGGATCCTGAACATTGGAAACCAGTGCGACGGGAGGGTCCACTCAGAAGCTCGACCGGGAGGGTCGACTCAGGAACGAGTGCGACCAGAGCGGGTCCACTCAGGAGTGCGACCAGAGAGTCGACTCAGGAGCGAGGGCGACCAGCGGGTCGACCCAGGAGCGAGCTCGACCGGGAGGGTCGACTCAGGAGCGAGCTGCGACCAGCGGGTCGGCTCGACTCATCTTCAGCTCGTCAACCTCTGCCGAACCGGGGGTCTCTGCTGCCACCGGAGTGGTGAGCATCGCGATTCGGCGACAACCCAGAGCTGCACGCTGCGAGCGAGTTGTGGGCGCCACCTACCGACCGGGTTCCGAACTGCGACAGCGTATCAACAGCCATCCGAACCAATTCGCCACGGGATCGACTGATACGTATGACGCGCACCGCCCCCTCACCACACGACCACCAGGCGTCTGTTTGACCTAAAGAATCGACTCCGAACACTGAATATTCAAGACAACTCTTACCACTCAAAAACACTCGAACCCATAAGCCATCCGTGGCTGGAAAGCATCACAACGAGACCGAGGGATGGCCCTCCGTCGTATAAGAGTATTCTTAATTTTTATCTTTAATATTTAGTGGGCTGTACTCTTAATCGCATAAATTCCCAACAGATCCATCAATACGAACTGATTCTTGGCACCTCCTTCCGCCGAGCCACGCTCACGTGGGGAGTGGTGGCCCACCGGATCCTTATCAGGTGATCTGGTCCCCAATTAGTAAACTTGGTATAAGATAACGATCTTCGGAAAAGGAGCACCGTCGCAGGCCCTTACTCCGAGCCGTTCTGCTGTCAGATAACCTGCCGATGTATCTGTTGAGATTGGTGCCTTTAAGAATAGTAACTGTTTTGATTGTTTTTTTTTTTTTTATCGCCGTATAATCTTTCAAGTATCCTTCAGTCATAATCGCCGCACGTACTCGCATCCTCTACAGAATATTCAACTGTCCCGTGACCCAAGGTGTTAACAACGTGATAAGGGTTGCGTATGATCAATAAGGAGTGCGGTACTGCGTGAACAATATTGAGTATAATCATTCATTAACGTTAAGGTTTTCTTAGCATAATATTTGCATGTTTTAACGACTCTCTCTCTCACTAAGAACCATCGCGTTATGCGGGATCCATGTGCCGTTGTCAAAGTGAAATCAGACAATCGTTGATGATACTGTATTGATGCCGTATTGACGTTCCGGGATTGAGAGTTCGCATACTATATCATAGTTAAGGTTGAATTAGTAATAAATTGATCAATACAGAAGTGGTTGTGTGATTCTTTCCTGAAATCTATGCATAAGATCTGCTTCTGCGTTGAGATTTGAACTTGGTGACCTTAATAAACACACTAATACATACTCAGTAAATGTTAAAGCGATAACGGGGTGAACTGGGGACCTAAAAATATAACCACGAATAAACACTCTGGGAATGTTAAAGCGAGAATGAGACGAACCTAGACAACGATGCCGAGTTAATCTAAGTTAATCTTGCATACTTACACCACACCTGCATAACTGCATACGATTAATTGCCTTATTCCGATCGATAACCCACCCTCGTCACCGAGGCGGGGTCTGGTTATCATAACGACTTGCATTATCATAATTACACCCACTCGCATAATTAATACGATTACCTCTCGAATTGGCATAATTAAAATGTGCGTAATTACATAAATTAACATATTTCCGGATAATTACACATTTGGCCAAATTTCATTTAATTATTATTATTTCCACTGAATATTCATAACCCACATATACAACATAATAATTTCACCCACGCACGCATACAACATAACAAATTTTCATACCCAACATATACAACATAATGGGGGCTCGTCTTCCGGGATCTCTCGCAGACAGTTTGTGCATGAATTCAGGAACGAATCACTGATGTGTTAATCAAAGTGTTGTGAACTAACGTTGCCTTGTGATTGTAAACGGGGGTATACAAACAAAACGCGCTCTGAAGGGAAATACCAGAGTAGCAGAGTATAACAAAGACAGCTGGGCTGAGATTATTTGCTCGAGTTGAACTGACGCATCCTGTGATACAATTGTTTATATGCACTCTGAAAAGAAATATTAAGGTAACTCTTGCCATACTTAAGATGCTAGGATTAAGAATAATATTTGAATGGGTTATGGGATACGGGGAGCTCGTATTTAAACGTACCGACCAATCTGTTACAAAGCAGTACAGTCAGAGAGACATATGGGAAGGGAGCTGTATCGATAACACGAACACACCTTGGGGGAAACTAATTGACTGGATAAAAAGTAACGAAGGCAAACACGATGCAAAAACTGCAGAGAAGGCAGGACAGGACTCATACCTTCTCACACAGGCATACAGACAGGGATTGTGGAATGAAGGAAATTTTGGAAAGGAAACGGGAGAGAAATCGTCTCTAATAAACGACGAGAAATGTCCTCACACCCTCGAGAGGGAGGAGAAATCAAAGCTCGCGACACCAGCGAAACTCACAGACGTTGAGCCACAGAATAAATATGGAAGTAACATCAAATCACTCTCTTGGGTACGTGGACAGAG